ACACAAGTGCCAAAATACAATAATTAAACTTCTCATTCGCAGCTATTTTTAATGTGATTTACAATATTAAGTTGTTAAAATACAATTTTTTTAAACTGACACACACACACACACACACACACACATTAACATGGTGCTAAATTCTGACATTTAGCATTGTTTTAAACTTCTCTTACATTTAACTTCAGATTTGTGTATTTTCTTTTTTTCCTGCACATCTGGAGAAGAGATGAGAGTTTGAAATATTAGGCCTAAATAACACATTGTTTAAAGGAAAACTTTTGTGAAATTATTATTCTTAAATGTTAAGGGCCTGTGGTGCAAACATCATTGTGATTTGCACAGTCAAAAGCAGACAATTTTTATTGAGCATATACTTTAAAATTTGACCAAAAATCTAAAAAACATGAGACTGTCATGGATTTTAAAAGTATAACAATAACTTGATCTTTTGCTTAGGATCTTAAGTTCATTGGTTATTGATTACTAGTGTAAAACAAGCACATTTATAAGGATTATAATACTTCTAATACTTGTTATTATTGTTCAGTAGCACAGCTGTAAGTCTGAAGATTTATAAACTAAAAACTGGGTTTTGATACCTGTGGTGGGCATAGCACACATAGCCCATTATGTAGCTTTGTGCTTAACTACAAGCAAACATACAAACAAACTTTTTTAATTTCATTAGTTCAAATTTTATAATAACTTTGGGCTTATTTTTACATTAAAAATTACGTAGCACTGTTTTCTGATATATAAATGAATGTTGTAGTTATTATTTTTAACTGCATTTCTTCTGATATATCATCTAACTAGCTGAATACGTTATTGTAGTTATTTACTACAGACATTTATACCATAATACCTAAACAGGTAATTCAAGAATGGAAATGAACATACTAAAACCTGCATTTTTTGTATAGAATAGATACTGATGCTTTTAATGAAAAAACAAACTTATTTATTGTAACTAGAATAAAAGTGATTGATGTATGTATTATTTTTATTTATTTTATAATGGAATTTCTTATGACTGTTTAAGATTTATCTTTTGTTGGACAAACTGTCAAATTGTTACTGCCCTGTTCATCTTTAATAAGTAGAACTTGAGAGTATCGTGATAGATATAGATTTGAAGTATCTTCCATAGTCCAGCTGTTTAAGTTTTTGTTTGATTCCTCAAAAGAGATATGACTAAGATTATCAAACTGAGCACATTTTGTGTTTTATGTTAAGTCTCACAATGTCATAACTGTTTTAAAATCTGGTGCAATAATTAAAATAAACAACTCCCTTTTTTAGGTATTAGTAGCTTATGATGTAAGTCATTTACAACTGTATGACATTATTTACAAAAATAAATTAGTATTAGCTGAGGGAAAGGTAATAAAAATACATTATCTATGAAAGTTGATTTATTTTTAGTGCTTCAATTATTTGTGTACTTTATGTATTTCAGGCAATGGACACAATTTTTCAAGTAGCAGTAGCTTTACTTATGGTAAGTATTGCAGTGAGTAAAGGTAGATCAGCTTTTGTAATAGTGGTCATAAAGTGCCAAATTAAAAGTTGTAATTTTTTTTAACTGCTACGGCTCGAAAGTTACGTTCTTCTTAAGAACAACATAACGCTTTACCTTTTTCTAATTATGTAATGTTGGCTGGAGCATAATGCATGTAACTACAAGTAAATAAAACAACTCTGTACTCCAAATAATTATTTAAGTTGTTTTGTTTGATCAGAGTTTCAGCTTACATTTTCTTGAATTATAACTGGGAAGATTAACAATGCTTTACAGTTTTATAAAGTATGAATGTTTTAGGAAAATTTTAGAAAAATGTAGGAAGACATAAAAATCACTAATTAAAATCTGTTAAAAAAGGTAAGCATATTTTTTAATACAGTATAAAGAAATCTTTTTTTAATTTTTAAAGCTATGATTCATACAAATATCACATATAAAAATAGTATTTTTATTTTTTTTGACCTAGCTATTTAATCTGTAGAAAGTAGTAGTGAAGTTTCAAGTTATTTTTCTAATAACTTTCTTTCTGCACTCCATTAGAACAAACTGTATGATGTGTGTCAACTTGATGCACCAGGCATTTCGATGTTTATTAAACATTATGCACATATTAGGTTTTCTAGTGTATATGAGTCAGGTCATTTGGATTTAAAAGTAGAAAACAATATGAGAGCACCTGTAGTTTATGTAAACATTGTCTAGATGCGATGCTTGTTTTGTATCAGCTTTTGAAAGCCAATCATAGTCCTGTGTAGCTGTTACTTAGTGTGAGTGTAAACTATATACTATCAGTATTGTATTTGTATTAAGGTGAACTTTTGTAAGTGTGTGGAGGGGGAAGATCCACATTTGAAGAAAAATGTTTGAAAGATATTGCAGGGATGACCATGTTGGTTTTCAGTAGTGTTTTATTTCGTTGTAGAATATATATCTAGGATTTCGTATATTGATGTGTTTCAAAAGTTTTACAATATGGAACATTATTCTGTAAGTTTTAAATTTTGTTTTACTACCTTTCAAAGTTGGTTTTATTAAAAAGTTGCTGAAATAAGGATTATATTATATGAATTTCATGCTTTACTAAATAAATTTACTTGTTGACAATGATAAAATGAAACAAATAGTTGTTTGCTTAATCTCTTAGCTACATCAGAAAACCTGCTATACATCAAGTAAAAGTTGGCAAGGTTTGACCTCGTATATTTAAAGTAGAGAGTTTAATAAAACAATGTATTTGTTAACATTCTTGCTCCAAGTGTCTTAACTATACATTTCTAAAATGTAGTTTAATATTGCAATTCAAATTGCTTTTCATTTGTTATAGCAGTCTATCGATAAGGCTTTTTACTCCATACCAGAACTTGTATGGTTGGCTATTAAAAATTCTTAAGTTTGATAAAGAGTTCTTATAAGATTCAGGTGTGTAGTGCTTTAACCCTCTTGTTACAGGCATCCTTTTCTACAAATATCATGAGGTTTTATTGAGCTACATTCAAAACTTAATTAAACTACTTTCTTATAATAGTATACAAATAAACTTGTTATAAAAATCTTGCTAATAATCCAAATGTCAGTTTCCCCTAGTCCTCCTCTTTTCGAATTTATTTACCACCTCTCTGAGAAGTACGAAATTTAATGTGAGTAACTCATTATAATATTGTCATTTCTCAGGCAAAGTATAATTTTTATAGCCTTCAATAGCCATAAAATAGAAAATCAGACCCCCCCCCCTTTTGCCACATCCTCTCTCTCAGAAATTTATAATAGTTCTCTCTGATGTTTTATAGTATATTATTTATAGCCAATAAAAAGCCAAAGTTTAATCTATCAGATGTCTTATTATATTATATTGTTTTTGTACAGAGAATTGTATATTTTGCTTCTAATTCAGACTTTATTCCTATAGAAAACACACAGATGTGCTTAGCTGAATTTTTAACTGCTCTTAATGCCCAGTTAGAAAGTCAGAACATTGTCTGCTTTTTGCATGTTATTATTCTGTGTTCTTTGGTGCATTATTTAATTAAATAAAAAATTTAGTACAGTAGTACCATTAAGTAGGGTTAAGTTTCATCAACAGCAAGGAAAAAGTCCCAGATAAGTGCTATATTTCTTGTTTTTCATGTGTATTATTTATTTTATTATTATGATAGTAACTAAAATATAAAAATTAGAACCTTTTTAGATTAGATTAGGTAAAATAAATAATAATAAAAAAAAAGTGTTTACCCGAGGTACATTCAGGAGCAACTCCAGAGTAGCCCATGTCTTACGTAATTTGATAGGGTAACGTAAGCTACATGTTCGCCAAGTGATTTTCAACTTGTGGTGGAAGTATTAGTTATACATGGTTC